CAGCAAAACAGCATAGCCGAAAGAAAAAACAGACATATTCTTGAGGTTGCTAGATCTTTCATGTTCACCACACATGTACCAAAATATCTTTGGGGAGAGGCTGTCCTTACAGCTACCTATTTGATTAATCGAATGCCCTCCCGTATTCTACAGTTTCAATTATCATACACTATCATCTCAAAAATCTTTCCTGATTCTCACATTTTAAACACTTTGCCACTTAAAGTATTTGAGTGTTCAGCATATGTCCACATTCATAAACATTTTCGTGGAAAATTAGACCCAAGAGCAATAAAGTGTATTTTTGTTGGGTACTCAGCAAATCAAAAAGGATACAAATGTCTATTTCCGGAAACCCACCGATTTTATAATACCATGGATGTCACCTTTTTTATAATCAACCATTTTATCCCACCACTGATATTCAGAGGGAGACATTCACTCAGGAATATCAGTTGTGGGATGTGTGTGTACCACCTCTCTACCCACAAAATTCATCATCAGACAAACCTTCCTTGGAGATTGAACCCGAAACCTCACAAAAGAAATCAGAACCAAAACCTGTTATAGAAAGCACATTACCTGCAACAAGTGAGTTACGTGTCTATATACAAGAAGAAACAAAGAAAAAGCACCCGAATCATCCAAGTACTGCCATGAATTCCCCACTGATACAGGTAACGTAATCTCTGTACTAACTCTTGATTCCGTTGATTCTGATATTCCTATTGCTTTGAGGAAAGACACTCGAATATGCACCAAACATCCTATACAGGATTATGTTTCATTGGACAAATTATCCTTGGAACATCATGCTTTTGTGAGCAGGATAAACAGCAGTTCACCTGAACCCAGAACAATACATGAGGCATTGGAAATTCCAGAATAGAAGTTAGCTGTCCTAGATGAAATCAGGGCACTTGAAAAGAATGAGACATGGGAACTAACTGATCTTCCTCCAGGAAAGTGTCAAGTGGGATGCAAATGAATTTTTACAGCCAAATATAATCCAGATGGGAGTGTAAACAGGCTTAAGGCTTGTCTGGTAGCCAAAGTCTATACACAATCATATGGTATAGATTATTAGGAGACGTTTGCACCAGTTGCCAAGCACAATACTATTCGGGTACTCCTCTCACTTGTATCTAACATTGACTGGCCAATGTATCAATTAGATGTAAAGAATGTATTCCTTAATGGCGATTTGAAAGAAGAAGTGTATATGAATATACCACCAGGGTTCGAATTAACTGACAACTCTCATAAAGTGTATAAATTGAAGAAATCACTTTATGACCTAAAACAATCTCCAAGAGCATGGTTTGACAGATTCACAAGAGCTGTAAAACATAAAATATATGAACAATGTCAATCCGACCATACATTATTTATCAAACATTGCATATCAGGTAAAAAAACTATTTTGATTGTATATGTTGATGATATCATTCTTACAGGAGATCACCTTGAGATTCAGAAACTTAAAGAATTCTTGTCCAAAGAATTTGAAATAAAAGATTTTAAAGCACTAAAGTACTTCCTCAGTATGGAAGTAGCTAGATTAAAAAAAGGGATTTCAGTTTCTCAACGAAAGTACATTATGGATCTCCTAAAGGAGATTGGGATGTTAGGAAGCAGGCATGCTGGCACCCCCATGGACTCAGTCATCAAACTTGGATCCAGAATTAGTAATAAATGGTGACAAAGGAGATACCAAAGACTTATTGGGAAACTTATTTACTTGCTCACACAAGACCAGACATCAGTTTTGCAGTAAGTACAGTAAGTCAATTCATGCATCAGCCAACAGAAGATAACATGAGTGCTGTGTATCAGATTCTGAGGTATTTCAAGAAAACTCCAGGACAAGATTTATTCTTTCAAAAAACAGACAGAAAGGGTGTTGAAATTTACACGGATGCAGATTGGGCAGGTTCTACAAATGACAGGAGATCTACATCAAGATATTGTACCTATATTTGGGGTAACCTGGAGAAGCAAGAAATAGCCTGTTGTGTCTCGCAGCAGTGCAGAATCTGAATTTAGAGCGTTCGCTCATGGTATTTGTGAAGGTGTATGATTGAAGAGAATACTTGAAGAATTAAAAATCCTCAACAATATGCCTATGAAAGTATGGTGCGACAATCAATCAACAATTAGTATGACCAAAAATCCAGTACATCACGATAAAACTAAACATGTGGAGATTGATCGTCATTTCATTAGAGAAAAATTGGAAGATGGGACTATAACTCTGATGCATATTTCAACAAATCAACAGATCGCAGATATTCTAACTAAAACTCTTCCTAAGAGAACCTTTGATGACATAATATCTAATCTAGGTTTACTCAACATATACGTAAACTATATTGAGGGGGAGTGTAGAAAATATAATAATTAAAAGAATAAATTAAGATTAAAAATAGTTATTTACAACTGTTATGTGCTGTAAATGGTTCCTCCATTTACAGCTGTTATGTGCTGTAAATAGAGGAAATCACCAATAAATTTGTTACAACAAATTTGTCCTTAGAAACAGAATTTTGTTAGGTTTCTCTCAAGAATTTGTTAGATTGTTAGAGTAGTAGACTTGTATATATATGTGTGGAAATCATTCATAAAAAAAATGAAGAATATTTTCTCTCAATTTTCTTCACAATCCTTACCTATGTACTCAATCTAGCCACATTAAATGGCATGACTTGACAGAAAAACCAACTACCCTTTTCTTCTCTGGAGCAAAATTTGATTCCTACCTGACAATTGACAGTGCCAAAATAGAGACAAGAAGTGAATGAAGGAAAGCTGAACCTTCGGGTGGCAATTACTTAAAAGAGTTGACACAATGTATAAATGGACATAAATGTTTAGGAAACTAGTGCATTGTTTAATTTGTTCCAACTAATACAAACACATCAAAGTGTTTAGGTAGTGGTTCGATGTGAAACACGAGAATTCTGGTTACTAGAGGCACTTCAAAAAACCAAGAAAGGAATATCTACTTCTCAACATCATAGAGAAGCAACTTAACGCCATTTCTCTTCTACCAACCGCCGTTAGTTCACTGGTAACAATCAGAAGTCTATGCAGTGAATGTTTCCTCGGATGTAACCCGACTTCACAGAAGTGAATGGTCCTTTTTTGATATCCTGTAGTTCCTTGATATAAGAAAACTTTCAGCCGACCAAGACACCATAAAAACAATAAACTGACAACAAAGTTTCAGTTTACAGTGTTTACTTTATCCTCTCTTCATCATTTTCTCTAGCAAATCTATAACTCCTTATTTCTCTGTATCCTTCAAACTAGACTATAAAACGAAAAAAGCAATAAGAATACTACAAACTTTGAAAAAATTTCCGTAGGAATCTAAATCAGTGGAAAGAAAAAACAATCAGCATAGAAGTGCAAACTTGTTACTTCAGAGGTTCCTTAATATATAAAAAAGGCATCTTCTGCTATGGTCACTATGAAATCAGAGAAAATGATTAGGTGTATAACCCAGATTCATACTCAAGAAGAACCATCTGCATTCATGCAATTAAAAAAAATGATAAACATATATAAAAAAGCTACATAAAGTGACAACCAAATCAAAAAAAAAAAATCAGTGTGTCTGTGTGTGTTTGAGAGAAAGAAAGAGAGAGAGAGAGAGCCTACGTGTAGATTGCGACAAAAATCTCCGGCACCATTCCCACCAAAGAACCCAATATATATGGACCATACTTGACATGTGTTGCAACAGCACAATAATTATATATTATATATGGGAATGGAGAAATCCGAATCAATGCAACAGCTTTAAACTGATGAAACCAATTTCCTTCACCAGCTGCTCGTAGGATGGCTGCTCTCTTTGGATACTTTTCTAGCCATCTCTGCACAAAGACAAAGAAGTTTTAAATTATGTTATTCACATCATTTGCATCCATGTATCCTCAGACCTTTTGCAGGATAAAAAATAAACAGTAAAAATCCTTGATAGAGTACCCACTTGAATTTTGTGGAGGAAAAGATTGCCAATGAAGAATGGAAGTGATACACCAATGACTGCCGCAGATATAATTAGTAGAAATCCATATCCATAACCAAATGTCATCCCAGCTACCCACATAGATGGTGAAGATGGTAAAAGTACCATGGGGAATAATGCCACAGAAGCAAAGACCAGAACTGCAAGTACTGGAGTACTAAATGTTGCTGTTTCCCAGTTTATAATTGGGATGATCTCCTGCAAAACAATGTTTACTACAGTCAGATAGAAACTAGAAGAAGAGGATGTATACATGCTACAAAAGGATGGTTGTTTTGGAGGAATATTTTGTAGAAAAACATAATCGTTTTAGCTAATGCTTTCTTTATTTATATCAGTTCTTTTACTGAATTTTAGTGTTTATAACCTGAACCATCAATTTGGTTGAACAAATACTAAAGAAGAAATTTACAAGAGCAGAACTGCTTCCTTAACTCGTCTAAAACAAATGTCATACTTAGAGAACAAGTTCAGAGGAATGATGCCTAAATTGTTTTTGCTTATTTTGACAATCACATAAAACTTACCTGATCCCTAAAATAGAAATCTGGTAAACGTTCTATACGAAATAGAATTGGTTTTTTTGTGTAATGGTTTTAGATGAAAATCAAAGCCAAAACGATCCCTGATTAAAAAGCACCTAAGGAGTACAATGAACATCAAAGGATGTTGTTAAGCCTAGTTTGCAAACCCGCCGAAATACGAGGTCTTTCTGTATGTAGCTATCACGAGCAAATATAAAATGGAGAGAGAGCAAAACTTCAATGGACAATCATTAACTCCTAAACAAAAGAACAAAAAAGTATACTACTCTTTTGATATAGCAAATTTCATAAAAGAATATCCCAATTGACAGATCATATCTAGAATTTTTTCTCAGAAAAGGCAAGAATTATATGGCGGGTCAATAGAGGCCCTAAACATGCTTTTAAAAGCAGCTGCAATAAACGATATAAACAAATAACAAAGCCCTCGAATAAGGAAAACTAATCTAGCCCTTAAATTCTCACAGAAAAATATTATATTGCAATTTAATCAGATGAACACGAAAATTTACAAAGAAAACTGACCTTGTCAATGAAAAAGGGACCAATCCATTTGAGAAAAACACCAAATAGCAAGCCCAAACAAGCAACTAATACAGCCAACTTCACCCAATACCACAAGGACTTTCTCCAGCTGGGAGAAACAGGCTCCCTTGATCCCTCCCTTTCCTGTTCCCCACATTCCTCTAATTCCCCTCGCAATTTCACATAATCTCCATCGTTATCATCCACCCTGAGGATCAGCTCTGGAACCACCTCACCCCCACCGCCGCCATTCTCCTCGTCTTCATCATTGTAAGTCATTGAATGGGATAAATCACCCAGCTTGCGGCACTTCTATTTCAGTTTGGTTCCCGAGAAAATAGAATAGAAAACCAACAGGCAACAGAGATGAGACCAGGCAGCGACGCAAACTGGAAGGAAGAAATAAAAAAGGGAGACTGGTAGATGAGAAGAGACAGAAGAGATGATTGAAAACGAACGCAAGGGAAATTGTTGATTATGAGGAAGAATCTAATTTGGTCCGATAATTTGGATATTAGAGTTCTATGAGAAATCGGAGTTCCTGTACGAGACGGTGTCGTATTGACGGCATGCGGACACGTGGCGCGTAATGGAGGAAAGGCCTTGACAGATGTTATACCGCTGTGTGCTAACGGACGCATGGCTGTTAGACGCCACTCGTTTGTCGTGACTTCACCGTCAAGGTAGGCGGGGGGCCACAACTGAGTCCAGTAGTGAATTGGACTGAGCTGACTCGGCCCCATCTTATACAAACGCTGTTAGTCCGTTACTTTGTTATGCGCGTCAGTCCAAGTCCAACTTGGGCAAAACATTTTTGCTTTTCTTTTTGAATTAATATTGCCAGAGGGAGGGAGGGTATTTGTTAGTTTCACGGACGTAATTAATGTTTATTAAAGAACAATCCAATCAGATCACGACACGTAAGAAAACGTTTTATTTTTCTTTTTCTTTTTTAACGAAATAAACATGTAAAATTAAATTTAAGGTAACAATATTATTAGATATTATAAACATGGAAATTTCCAATTTTATTTATTGTTTTTATTTATTTATTAAAAAAAGTCATAAATTATGGAAAAAGAAAAAGAAGGAAGAGCCTTAAAAGGCAAGACCCAGTACGCTGCTGCATCCTTTTAAAGATACCAAGAAGGAGTCTATATTACTCAAGCTTCAAATCTTTCATAAATTTAAAATTAAATATGTAATATTTTTATTTTATTTTTTTGGTATTAATTTAAAGGTTAAAGACCCATATTTTTATAAAATTAAATTTATTTATTTAATTTAATTAAGAATCATAAAAAAAAAATTATTTCGAAAAAAGTCAAAAGGCGGTGTACCCCGGGATGGCTTCCATGTCAATAAATAATGGCTCAAGTTTTTTTTGAAAAGATACAAACGGAAACAAACCCAATAATGAAGTGCAATAATATATATATATATATATATATAGTTTTTGAAAGGTTGTTACATTTTGGAACGTTGCTCTCACAAAACGTCTAGTGATTTGTTTATTAATGTAGGTCCAAATATACACATGTATTATTCTTCTAAACACTAACCCACAACCAAGTTTGTATTATATAACCATATCATAAAGCCATATAATAATATTTTTTTTTCAGATTGTAAAATCAACATTTTCTCATAATATCTCTGCACATTTATTTTTAACAATGGAAATTTTTAATGTATGATGGAAGAAATTTTTTTAATTTTTACTAATGGTGTCAATAGCATTGATGCTCTCAAGATATACTAATATTAAATTAACTGTATTGATAAATAAAATTGTATTATTTTTAAAAAAATAAAAACAAAATTTATGAGAAAATTATTGGTTTAAAATTATGTATATTAAGCCTATTTAAAACTACAACTATATATTAAATTAGGGTAATTAGAGTTAACAAATTTTTGCGACAAAAACATATAAATTTTTTCATCAATATTCTCACACAAGAACAACGATGAAAAAATAAGATGAAATGTAATTTTTTTTTTTTAATAAATAACTAAAACTCATTGTAATTTATTTTAAATTATTTATAACAACCAATTTTACTATTAGATTCTTGTTTAATGTGATAAATTCACTAAATAACCACAATGTTTTTATCAAATTGTAGAAAAATTAAAAATAAATTTAGAAACTAAGAGAGTTCAGTCTTTTTAAATATATAATTTTTTCGTGCCTTAAATATTTTTTCTTAAAAAATTATTTTAAATATTTAATAGATAGTAGATAGTTTACACGTAATTTATAATTTTTTTAATGAAAATATAAATGAGGTAACATGTACTAAATATAAGATAAAATTTATTAAAAATTGATACTTAATTTGAGTTTTATAATAATTGAAGTAGATAAAATAAAAATTTAAATTATATATTATTAAAAATTATAGCCGACTATTTAATGAGAAGATAATAAAGAGAGAGACTCAATTATATTAGAGATAAAATAATAGTTGTATCAAAATTTTGGTATGTAAATTAGGAATGTTCGTAATTGTTTTAGTCCGATTTTAAAGTGAACTTTTATAAGTGACGAATAATAGAAAAAGAAGATAATTTAACTAAATTAGTCGGTGTTAGAATTTCTATAATTGACGAGAGTTAAGAGATTAAATTTTTGGGAGAGGATTAGATTTGAACAGATTTGGAGATTTAAATGAGAAATGTAATTCCATAAACCTAACATGACGAACAATACAATGATACCAAAATACAAAGAAGTTTTTATTTATTAGAAAAAAGAAGCATCATCGTTTTCCTATTAACATGCTAAACCATGAATAATATGATAAATATCCGGGGAGTCAGAATATTTACTTCGAAATAGCGTCACGTTTCTGCATTTGGACTTAGAAGCGCAATCGCAAATCACCATCGAGATTGGAGAGATAAGCTTTTTGGGAGCTTGAAATAAGCTCGGATCTCCACCCTGAAATCTTCTTTTCCCTAAAGAGAAATCTTGTTTGCAACCAAACAAAGCATGACTCTGACCACTTATTCGCTGAGTATTCGATGCTCGCAGTTTACTCAGTTTCGTCCTCAACCATCATCTCTTGTTCCAATTCATCACCTCCCAGTTTCGCTGCGAGTTTTTTCACTCTCGTTTCCAGGTTTTTTTTTCCCTTCCCGTCCTCCTTCCATTGACATTGTTGATTTATTATATGATACGTTTTCTCCCTCTCAAACACTATTGTATTCTGATTTTTTTTTTTTGCAGGGTCGCGGTCTATAAGGTTTCCTATTTGTCTTGATTCTGTTTCTCGACGTAAGAGCTATTGTTTTTGCTTTCGATTTGAAATTTTTAGGTTCTCTTCCTCTCTACTTCTGTTTTTTCTCCGGTGACTATGATGTGTTGGTTGATCGACAGTTAGAAGCTCAAGGTTTTTAGTGAGCAGATGTTTATTCGATCAATCTGCTGAGCCGGGTCCCAACGTCGTTGCTGAACCTGATGAGGTACTTATACTAGCAGATTCTCTTTTGGGGTAATTGTGCTTGTAGTATGAGAGATTGATTCATTTCTTTTTTTGCGCATGACTATGTAAAACTAATGCTATGAAGCTTTTCTAGTGAATTCATGTTCCTGTTAGTGCACGTGAAATATATTGGTTGGTTTCTTGTTATTCAGTCACTTGTAATGTTGACGGATGGCTTTGACCAACAAACCATTTACTCTAACTCAGGAATGCGTCTCGTGCCTAGGGTAGAGTTCTAACAATTCAGAGGGAAAGAAAAGGGCTGCAGGCAGGAGAGGCTGGATATTTATATGAGATTATCGTGAAACATCCGGTTAAGTTTAAAAAGCTTAATCATGCTGTGTCTATGCTCAACTGGAAATCTGCTTACATGCATTGGTATTGTTACTGATTAGTTGAACTCCCCAACTTTGGAGTTGTTGATGACAGGGTTCTTTTGGTGTTGGGGTGACCTTCAGTTCCGAGAATCTTAATAGGCAATCAGAATCTTGATAAAGGACTATAGATTGGCTATAGCAAAAGTGGTTATCAAGAGGGATCAATTTGAGTTATCTTGGGTAAGGATATTTTGGATAATATGCTAATGCAATCGCTGACAAGCAGTAGTGTTTGTTGCCATAACAATTTGATTGACAACTTGAATGAGGTTAAGGTTTTGCTAAGTTGAACTGAGATGTTCTAACTGCGACAAGGCTCCAGGGCTTCAAATTATTGCTTTCAATTAATTCTTATCTAATGAGTACTAAACCAAACGGTTTGCCACTTACAAGGCTTTTAGTTTCTCTGTTATGAAATTATAATCCCTTGGAAACAAATTAGGGCAGAGCAGCACATGCCTACAATGAGAGGTTATTATTAGTAGAAAAACAGTGTAACATTCCCCATTTTTATTCCGTTGAATGGAAAAAAAGGAGTTAAAAACGAGCTATCATACTTATTATAATAGGAGATAGAGTGTAGACAGGTTCCCAACTTTTCATAGGCAACTGTGTATATTATGCATCTTTGAGTGTGTTTTATTCATGCACTACTTTTCGGTAGGTTCTAACAATTGATTTTTATGCAGTATCATTAAAGAGTATTTTGCCCAAAATGAAGAATGTTCATTTATATCCTATTTCAGAATTCTAAATCTATTGTGACGATGTTGAAGGAAGCAAATTCTCTTCTGCCTCATGTAGTTCTTGCTAGTACATTATTGGCTCTTGCCTATCCACCTTCCTTCACATGGTTTACCAGCAGGTTGTTATTCCTCAAGTGCCTGTTCAGTTTAGTTTCTTGTTTACTGGGTCTGTATTTACATGAATATTTTTAGGAAATTTACATAAAATTTTTTGATAGGATGTATGTAAATAATTATTTGCCCTTGCAAGCCAATTGAATCGAAAGTTGTCTGAAAAAAAAAAGAAAAAAGAAAAAAAGAAAAAGAAAGCTAATTGATGGATGGTTAGCTTTCAACCTTCGAAGTGCAAATTGCATAATTAGCTTCAAACTTCTATACAACTGATTTTCAACATTGGTAAGATTCTTTAGATGCAACTGGGCGTGTTTATTTAGTTAGATTTTAAAAAGGACAGGTAATACCAGTTAGTCAATACAGCACGAAGAGGTTTAAAATGTTTTTCTAGAGCACCAAGAGGTCATGTTGGGACCTTCCTGCTAATCAAAATGTGGAGAAAGCCGGAATTAGAGTTCTGAATAGATTATTATGGTTGTTCCTCTTGAAATGAGACAAAGGTCATATAATAGCTTTCCCTTTCAAATCGCTTACACAAGTGATTTTATTGTCTAAGGAATGTGTATAAGGAACTTTTTTCTTTTTTTGCCATGTGAAAACTATTATGCAACTTCTGAGGGACAGAAGTTCTAAAACAAATAAGTCTCTGACAAAGTTTCATGCGAAAGTAAATTGTAGTAGGGGAGAAAACAAAGCAGTTTAGACTTTGCAGAGATCGTTTGTTATTATCTCATTATTGCTCTATTTCTAGGTACTACGCCCCTGCACTAGGGTTTTTGATGTTTGCGGTTGGGATCAATTCTAGTGAAAATGATTTCCTTGAAGCATTCCAGAGACCTGCTGCTATTTTTGTTGGCTATTTTGGTCAATTTGCTGTGAAGCCTCTGCTTGGGTATATTTTTGGCACTATTGCAGTAACACTTTTTGGTCTTCCCACTCCTATAGGTGAGAATTCTTCTATTTGACTTCCAAAGCTGGTGGAAGTGAACTAACTGAATGTCAATCTATTAATTAGGTGCAGGGATTATGTTGGTATCTTGCGTTAGTGGTGCGCAGCTATCAAATTATGCAACCTTCCTTACAGACCCATCTTTGGCACCTCTTAGCATCGTTATGACATCAATGTCAACTGCTACTGCTGTTTTTGTCACACCATTATTATCGCTCCTACTTATAGGAAAAAGGCTACCTGTTGATGTAAAGGGTATGATTTCCAGCATTCTGCAGATTGTAATTGCCCCCATTGCTGGAGGCTTACTTCTGAATAGGTGATATACCAAGACAATAAACGTTAGAATAAAAATTAATATGAGAAGTTGTTGACTGTCTTATATGCCTGTGCGTTCAGGTTGTTTCCCCGGCTGTCTAATGCTATTCGGCCATTTTTGCCGCCACTTTCAGTACTTGATACAGCTCTCTGTGTTGGAGCTCCACTCGCCATAAACATAGAATCTGTTATGTCTCCATTTGGAGCAAGTATTTTGTTCCTCATCGTTGCATTCCATTTGTCAGCATTTATTGCTGGATATCTCCTGGCTGGTTCTGTATTCCACGAGGCACCTGATGTAAAAGCATTGCAAAGAACTCTATCCTTTGAAACAGGTGTGAGTCTTCTCCAATGTTATTGTTAAAGTTTTAACAAAGAACTCTGTTCTATATTTACGTTTCCCTTATCTTCTAAAGGAATGCAGAGCAGTCTTCTGGCCCTTGCTCTGGCTAATAGGTTTTTCCAGGATCCCCTTGTGGGTGTCCCGCCAGCAATATCTGTAAGTTTTTAATTCCTTCATCTTTTGAGTCGACTGCATTAATTTTCCTTTGGGGAGGAAGTATTTTGGTGCAAGACATGATGACTACTCATGAGAGACAACGAACATGTATCTCTGTTTGAACTGTCTTGGGCCTTCTAAAGGGGGAGACTTCTCTTTATCTTCACAAACAAATAATTGGTTTTCAGAATCTCATTATAGAAATTTAAGGAAAGAAGTCTGCTTTGTGGTTTTGCAGACTGTGATCATGTCTTTGATGGGCTTCTCCCTTGTCATGGTTTGGGCAAAGAACAAAAAAATAAAAGCACAATAGAAGAGCTCCATGTCAAGGGATTACCCTTGCGTGACTGCGTATACATTTGAGCAATGTGGGCGTGTAGAAGGGTGCCTCACCAGTGTCATCTGTAAATGGATTGAAGTTACAGCTTTCTTATTTAACACGTTTTAATCTTATCAATTGTTACTGAGTCCGAACATGCACAACAAATAATTTCTTCTTTTTTTTTTTAGCATTCGTAGATCAATAAGTATATCATTATTGCATTTGAGATTGTAGATAGAACTAATACTTATGCTGATATTCTCATTCGTGGGCCAATTATGCTAAATTTGAGATTACATTTTTCATAAAGGGATGCGCTTGAAGTTTGTTATGGTCTCTTTCAAGACTCAAATTGTTTCACTAAAGTTACCACCTTTCAAAGTGCTTGCAAATTACATTTTAGAGCATGAAATTCTTTCTTTAAGAAATAGTTAAAACTTAATTAACTTGGACTGTAGGACCCCTCTAAATTATTTATAATAACAATATATTTCTACTAATTTTTTATAATTAGTAATTCATTTAAGTGTATCACCTCCTTTTTTTTTTAAAAAAAAAAAAAAAGAAATAAGCATTTTACATATTGACTTGAACACATTCTTTAAACAATCATAAATACCCTCTTTAAATTTATCTTCTCAATTAAGAATTCATTAAAAATATTTGTTTTTTTTTTTTCCATTTTCACTTTACTATCAATAAAATATACCCATTTTTTGAAATTTAAGAAATATATATATATAAAAAAAGATCAAAATGACATAATATTTGAATCATGCATTTGTAAAATATACATTTGCATTTTAATTAGTGTTAAATAATTAAACAATAGTTAGTATTTTAATTTATATATTTGAATTATTTTTGAATTAAATAATTCAAAAAAAATTTAATGAGAAATAGTTTTCTTCTCTTATCCTCTGTGATAAAACACAAAATTAGGAGCTTCCGACGATGGCTACTGCAACCGCCTTACTCTCCTCTTCAAAACCCATCATACCCGGACGCACCCTTTGCTCTTCTCTTTCCTCTCCTTGTGTCCGTACACATTCCACTCTTCTCACCCAATCCTCTAAGCCCCCCGTAATTCATGATCCCAAACCTCTTCTGGCTCTGGTCGGCGCAGGGCTGGCCTTCGCCTTGACGGAGCCCGCTTCGGCTACCGTTCTACCATTGTTGGGTTCGCTGCAACTCAGCGAACCAGCCAACGCCTTGTCTCTGCCCACCTGGGCCATTCACGTATCTAGCGTCGTTGAATGGTGAGGATTTCAAGTCGGTCTTGAGAGTTTTGTGTTTACTTTCGTTTGACTTTGTTTACTGTTTTATGATCTTGGAAAGTGATAAACATAGCTAAATTTTGCTAAATAAATACACCATTTGGCAGCATCTGAATTGTGTATTACTTTTTTTTTTTTTGTGGTTTGAAAGGATTACGGCTATGGCATTGGTTTGGCAATATGGTGAGAAATCTGGGTTTGAATCATGGAAGGGTCTCTCCTGGGGAATGGTGAGTTCTTATCAGGCTTCAAAATTAATAATATCAATGATTTCTCCTCTTTTGTTTCTTTTATGGCATTTGAAGGCTTAAATTCGCCTTTTTCACAGTGGAGTCTGTTTGTAGATTCATAACTTGAACTCAATTCATGAGGAAACTGAAAACTGCTTCACTTAGGGGAGTATCTCTGCCTAATTGCAATGACAAGAAACGATTCTATTCATTTGCAACAATATCATGTGATGGTTTTCATTCTGTAGGATGTTTCAGCTCCACCTTAAGTTATTTACCTAGTTGATTCTTTAGATATAAGTGGTTTTGTGGATTCTGATTCACCCACATTTCAACCATTTTTCGTTTGAGTTTTTCTCCACATGAACCTGCATGATTTCTTACTTTCTCTAGTTTCCTGTTGAGAAAATTCTGTCATAATACAATTTTCTGATCTAGGTACCTCTGCTTGGTGGAGCATTTTGTGCATGCACATGGCACTTCTTTTATAATTCTGAATCTCTTGAGGTAAGACTGCTTTTATGTTTGTCCTACAAATCAAAATTCGTTTCTGTATCCTCATACTGAAATAACTTTAACACTGTTAAAAGAATTAATCGAATGGGTGCTTTTGCCCATAAGTGTTGCGTAAAAGTACTAAACAGTGAAAATTTAGTACATAGCTAAAGTAGATGGCTCGTTTGTCCTTGTCTTGGAATATATTTCAGTGCATGCATCTTTTATTCTGCAAAGGTTGAAAGTCTGAATTAGCTGGAGTCAGCATTTGGCTAGATTTATTTCTTAAAAAGTGGATTTAAGGTTCATATTTACATGGGTGAATTGTTCCATAAGTTGAAGTTGACAGGAAGGGCTCTCATTATAAGAACCATGTTTCTCTCTTGGGTTGAGTCTACTGGCCGAGTTAAAAATTTCACTCACACATATGAGGATCATTTTAGAAATATGATATAAAATCATAAAGTTTTCAGGACCCGAAAGCCCAATGATAATCAAAGAAATGGCAAGTGATAATAATAGGTGAGCATGGGAAAGGTAGAACAATTCAATTAGATAACTTAAATTTATGGGAAAGAGCCTAACTTATTATTTAAAATATTTTTAAGATCAACTTTAAATTATTAATATTTTAGGAACTAACACTATGTTTAGGAGGTGTCGTGCAGTAGTTTCTGGTTGCAAAAGTGCCACATATGATGATTGTGCTCTAATTTTAGGTCTAACTACTCCTATTCTCATATTAGCCTCTTTTTTACTTCATAATTCCCCTGAACAAAAATGTCGAGCCTTTGGTCTGTCCACAGATGGAGCCATAACAGCGTTACCAACTCGTTGCATCGTAATTCCAGAAATAAACAAATAAAAATAGGACAGATGTCATAAAAATCGCAGAGGATGTTTTATGCTAAGCTCTCTATCATGCAAATTTCTCAGGTTATTAGATTTGGGAAATGATTGCCGAACATGATAGATAACTACTTTTCTGGTCATTTTCTTGTGTATCTTATTAACAAGAGATTGATTTGATAGCAAGTTTTGGATGATATAGGTCCTTGTGATACTCTCCTGTTGTGTGAATTTGAATAATTGATTAAACTGATTATTTCAAATGTTTAAGCTGATAGGAAATGAACAAATCTATTAATTATACACTAGCGCACCCCCTCACCCAAAAACGCTAGGCTGAAAGTTTGCATTAGGCACATGTTCTCTATACCTTATGCTGATTTCTTTCTTCTAAATTCGGATTTGGGGAGATAACTAAAGTTTGAACTCTAGACCTCTAGCTTTAATTTAATAATATATTGATTTGATTATCTCAAAAACTTAAAAATGATAGAAAGTGATTCAATCTATTATGTATAGACTTGTACAAGTTCTCATGCACAAGCTTGCTAAACTAAAACACGAACCAAGCGTAAACATCTCATGCCTTGTGATAAACTTCATTTTTTTTTTCTGGTTAAATTCATATTTAGTGCAGCTCTACTAGGCGAATTTTAGATTTCTAACTTTTGACACTATCTTAAATAATTAACTCATAATTTTTACTTCTAAAAAAAATAGTTAATTCAATCTATTACCCTAAAAGGGTTAGGCTTAATAGGGAAAAGACTAAATTTATTAATTATAGACTAACACGCTTCATCGTGAAAGGCTGCTAAGTTGAAAGCGTAGATCAAGTACAAACCCTTTATATCCTTTGCTGATTTCTTTTTTTTTTTTTTTTTCAATTTAAATGTGGAGTGGCAACCAAAATTAAGGTATATGCAAATTATTGCTCTCAACTACTGATTCATAAATTTTTTGGGAAAAGATATTGCAATATTCATAAATTGACAGCCAAATCTGTCGATATTGAGAAAAGTAATAGAGACTCCATTTTCTCAACCCTTGTAATTTTTCATTACCCCAGCCGTACCAAGTGGATTGATGATGGCGTTTAATTTCATGAACTGATTTCACTTTGAATGAGCACAGTACTAAAGTGCAATGTTCAATGAAATGTTGTACATTTCATGATTGCTTGAACTTGTTTGGCCTTCAGTTGTCTTATTTATATTCTTACTGTTGTTGTAGTTATCTTTTACTCTCTTATGAATGGTGACTTGAACTTGTAAATAAAATGTCTGAAGTAAAAGTAAGTCTGATGTTCCTTTGAGCTGTGTAGGTATTGGTTGCTCTGCAAGCAGCATTAACAGTAATTGGCAATACCACAATGTGTATTGCTGCATTCCGCATAAACAAATCCTCTGAGGAAAGCTCACGTTCACAGAAATCCTAAAGTTTACTGATATCTTCAATTTTCCAGCCAGCGTTCCTGCATGAACTGAGTATCCTTGTCTTATTTCCAATCGGACAGGTAAATAGCAACTCTCTTTCGACTGGCAAGTTGCAGTGGAAACCCTGAGCAAAGAATTACCAGTTGAGAACATTTAATACTGGTGTCAGTTTGCCTCTTGCAGGAATTAGACGTGATGAAAGGTTCTTAACTTGTGACAAAATTGAATATCTCATGAAGAAAACTAGCCAATTAGTTAGGATATTATGTACAATATGAAGAATGAATCTGTCTCCTGTATCATTACTTTTACAGTGTATGATATGAAAGATTCTCATTGTCGGATGCCACTGATTCTTCCTTGGATTCAATGAGAAAATGAGTTTCTCAGCACACTAGTTTGACCCGAGACCCTCAACTTGGATTAACATGCAATTCCTTTCAAATTTTAATGTTAATTGACCTGGGATTTCCGCATACATGGAGTTTATGGTGTTTATCTTTTTGCCTTGGGTTATTAGTTTGCTATACGGCCACCATGTCTGGATATTATGATTGTGCGTGAGTGTGTTTGATATTATCAAGCCAGAAAATAGGGAAATTTCCCGGAACTTACTGTGAAACTAAATTAATTTTGGACAAGGAGGTTTTGCCAAGTTTTTTAAGATGAAATTCATCGAAACAAATAGTAATTAACAGATGGGTCTTACAAATTATCTTTTCTTCTTTTGTAAATGATTCAAGATAAATTTAAAATTTTAAAATATTAATTCTACAGAGAAAGTGTTAAATTGTTTTATGTTTTGTTTGAGAAATGATTATATGTTGCACTTCAAGTGTTTAAGTAAGAATTGAAATATGCTACAAAATCTAAGAATCTTTGATTTGAAGAGGCAGGTGAGCCGAATGTGGACATTTCATCGAATCAAACCAAAATTCTGGTGTCCTCAGCTGCCAGTAGTTGTCTCATTCATATATATATATATAATATTATATGCACATATACACCAAATAAAATATACAAAGAGGCTGTTGGATTAAATATTGTTTACAAAAATAAATAGTTACTCCATTTTTTTATATAAAAAAATTAATAATATATGTTTATTACAAATTTGTATATATATTGTAAATTTTAGGAGATACCAATATATTAGTTAAATTAATTTATTAATCAAGTATTTATTTTTTAAAATTACTTTTAAAAGTCTCATAAACATCATATTTTTATTTATATTACCAGGAGAGGAAGATTAATCTTTGTAAACAAAACAAACCAATTTACATCACTAATTACTAGGCTCAATTAATCTCTTCAATCCTTTTTCCTTCAGTTCAAATGCAGAGATTGGAGCAAGCAAAATGAAACAGATAAATTGAAATACTAATTGATTGGTGATTAAGTAATATTAAGTCTGGCAAATCCATTCTTATTATTTCTTTTTTCAACATGAAAAAGAAAAAGAGAAAAGAAAAAAGAGAGAGAGGAAATGGAGATCAGTGTTTTTGAAGGAGGAGAAAAAGTGAGGTAGAGAATCCACGGAGACTAATGTTTTGGAACTGGCTCATCAATGCTAGGTTCTCCTGGTGCAGAAGATTAGCTTTTTGTCTAAGCTTCTGGTTTTCTTGAATGATGCTCTGGTTCTCCAAGTACAGCTTCAAGTTCTTCAATTCCATCTTCGACTGATCACATCTTCTCCTGCACTAATACCCATTACTTACCACCATCCATATTCACATATATTACATATACCCAATTAATTTTGATATTCAGTGATGTACATATATGTGTATATATATACCTGGACAGCCTGTAAATTTGAAGTCTTGATGATCTGTGCTTTCTCTTAGAAGAAGCACAGATGGGGCGAGATCGAATCCAATCTCTACTGGTGCTGCTGCTGCACATATTCTCTTTTTATCTCTGTCTTAGTTTGAAATTGGGAGTTTGATATTTGTGTTGTATGATTCTGAGAACAATTAAACAGGAACAAATTTGTATGGGTTGAAACTTGTAGGAGATCCCCACCAATCTATACCATATATATGTGTGTGTGTATATATAGAAAGTTGGGTGATGTTGGTTCCATTGGGTGTTGATAGGTGACTACTGTTTGTTGTGTAAGAAAGAGAGAGAAGGGAAATGATGGGGAGTTGGACGCATAATCAGAAAGTGAAGCAACTCATCAATTAGTTCAACCCAAATAGAACCTTCTCTTCTTTGTATAAAGAAGATCCCATCACACAAATTCATTAACTATTTTTTTCCCATCTGAATTTGAAAACATGATTTTTAATTGAATTTTTCTGATTGGTTTGCAAGACTTCGTTACATTCTACACAATTGGCCTCCTAATGTTTGTACTTGGGACTAAAACTTTCAAAATTTTCATGCTATCAAAAAATAAATGCTGATGACTAATCTCATATACTTTTATCTCTCTTGAATTGAATTCGAATCTTCGGTTGTGTTCATGTACATCATTATTAAAAAATTGTGTTAGAAAATTATATTATTATTGGTATACATATGTTACCTAATTTATAAAAATAATTTTTACTAATTAAAAAAAAGAATATAATACATTTAAAAACTCTGTTAATTTTTTTTTTTAATTTAGATCTTACATTATTTTTTAGTTTAAATACAACGTGAATCTAAATAAATATTTATTATTAACAGCGTGTTTAATATCATTAGATAAATATCTGTATAACAGATGATAATATAAAAATTAAATTTTAAAAATATTGTTAGCATGAGAGCCATGTGACCACCACATTAGCATCTTCTCATATATTTTTTTTCTTTTATCTCATTTTTATATCTTTAAATAATTATAAATTAAATACAAATTTACAAAAATACTCCAAGAAGACATAAAGTTAAAAAGAAATCCTCGATACTAATATCGTTTTAGTGTCTTCTAGTCATCATTTAAACACTATCATTTAATTTAATAGAACTTAAAAATACAATGCTGTAAAAAAATAAATTAATAATGACAGAACCAGTTACATATTGTCACTCTAACAATATTTTTAAAATTTGATGAATACACGAATATATTTTCTGCCACAGATCATTCGTTTAATAATATTATATACGTTATTAGTAATAATGATTCATTTGAACATAATTTAAAAATAAATATTTTATTTAAATAAAAAGGGTAAGCAATAAAAAAAGAGAGAGTAACTTGAGGGTAGTAATTAAAAAAAGGTCTTTTTATTTAGATTTGAACAAATATTTATAATAGCAATTGATTCTTTGGAATTACAACTTGAAATAATTTTTTTTTTTTTTCTTTTTCTTCACTAGTAGTAAATCAGCCATAGTTGATACTCTAAATATATTGTACTAAACACAAATGTATTTAAAAGAATGAAATTAGAAGCACACTCTTTTACTTTCAATATTTTTTTTTTCAAAAAAAAAAAAGAATTGGTTGGTATCATCATGTTGGGTTTGAATATATGTGTATATATATATATATATATATATATATATATATATATATATAAACACACACACATATATATATATATATGGAAATAGTCAAAAAATATCATCGAGAGCCTCTTTATTCTCTTCCTCCCTTGATAATGACAAATTATTATTATTCGTGTTATTATTATTATTATTATTATTATAATCATTATTATGGTGTGCTTATGATCATACGTGCATGTGTAATTTCATCTTCATATGTAGTAGTACATGTTCATAATTTAATTAAGCAGGATCATAATCATGATTATCCTCTTCTAATTACTCAATTCTTCTTTTACCTTCCTAAACCCAATTGATTTTAGCCAAATTAATCAACACACCCGTGACCTTCATCATCATGTTTATATTTGAATTAGTTTAAAAAATTTAGAATTTCCTTTTAAATTCAAACTTAATTTCATTATGAGAGGATGCAAGTCTTAATTATTTAGAGATAATCTCATTATGAGAGAATATAAATTTTAATTATTTAAAGATCATAAAAACAAATTGACCATTAAAATTAATTATATTTATATATATACACATTGTAGGGTTTCATGTAAAATTAAACAACATATTATTAATTATATCAGAATTTGATAAATTTCGAAAATATTCTTTCGATTCTTCTCCATACAATTTTATACAAATAAATCTTTATCATTTTAAAGATCATTACTAGTATGCTCTAGTAAAAAACTAAATATAAATTTACACAAAATTAATGAATTTATATCTTCAAGCTGCTGATAAACATACATATATACATATATCTATATACACATATATAGGTGGATCTTTTGGAGAAGCTGGTATTAATTTCTTTTGTTATTTACTTTTGGCTTTTTAAGTAAAGTACTAAATTAATTATATATGCACCATTTGATTGCTTTGACTTCCAACAAAGATGAATGATGCAAGGTTTAGTGAAGTCAATTATTAGAAGATTATCTTTTCATGGTTACAACAAGGATTAATTATACCAAGACCCACCAATCAATTAATCTCACCAACAAAAGAAATTTCATTTTTCCATTTAATTAATGACCCATGATGATTGAGTGTGTTATGTGTATGTATCCATACCATTCTTCTAATTACCATTTTCTTTTTCTTACTTTTTCAAATAGTAACGTACCCTTCAAACTAAAATCTTAATGACTTCCTCTCGGCGGAAGAAAAGGATGGTGGTGCTACACCATGCCAAACTCTCTTTTCGAAGTTCAGGGATACTTTGGAAATGTGTCAATTGATGGATTTACCACTATATGGATATGAATTCACTTAGTCGAGGGGTCTGGAGGATGGGATAATCAAGGAATGATTTGATAGATGTGTGGTAAATGATATGTGGTTGGCTCAGTTTCCCTATGCTCGGTTGGAAAATCATGTGGCATCGGTGTCGAATCATTCACCTATACTTTTACATTGTGACAGGTAAAGACAACACATAAAAAGAAATCGATTCCGTCTGGAAGTGGATGCTATGGTAAGGAGGGGTTGGGAGAATAGTCACTCGGAAGACCTCTAAAATAAAATTGTAACTTGTGGAGTGTATCTTAGCGAATGGGGTGTTACCTAGCTTCATGATTTTAGGGATATGAAGAATTGGTTGTATACTTAACTTTCTCGGGCCAGGAAACAGAGAACCCATGCCAACACTTCTTCCCTAGCCTTGTTAAATACTGAGTATATCCGGCTATTTGAACAGGAGGAGGTATTCTGGAAGCAATGGGCGAAGAACTTCTGGCTATACAATGGAGACCGCAATTGTAAAGGCCCCGGAAATATTAAAATGAAATGAGTATTTAAATATATCAAATGCGGAAGCGAGACCAAAATTTCAGTTAACATCCCTTACACGAAAACCAAAAACGTACTTAAATTATAAAAGGTTAAACTAACTAAAAGAGAAACTCGAAAACAAAGCTATGAGCATGACTACAGAGTCTCTAGGCATCCCCTTCGTCGTCCTCCTACGGAACGGGCTCGGGAACCATGTCTTCCTGATCTGAAATGGTTAAATAAGGAGTGAGCTACACTAGCCCAGTAAGAACATCACGATATCTCACCGTCACAGAGGTAAAGGTGGGTAGAAAACACAAAAAGACCAATGGAGCATAATTTACAACAAACTCGCTTATTAACATAAAAACCTTTTCCATCCACTTACCTCGGTGGAATTTATGAAAACAATATAAGAAAAACAATAACATTATCATAATCATGGAATAATATAAGCTGTAAAACATAACACTTATCACGCCTCTTGTAATTCAATCATTGTACAACATATCTTTTTCTCATTTACCAGCCTACTAGTATCCGTGGGGGTCCATAGGGGTCCCGCTACCCGTTAACCTTTAACATTCATAATCAGTTTCCAGGGCTGTCCCCATACCCCGTCCGGTATGGGCGCCAAAACCATAAACCTCAATACCCCGTCCGGTATGAGGGTGAAACGGGCCGTCCCCATACCCCGTCCGGTATGGGCGCCAAAACCATAAGATCTCCATACCCCATCCGGCATGTGAGACCACAATCCCGGTAGGGTTCCCTACGGACCCGGTCCGTCCACCATCTCTCAGGATATCTAGTCAGGCTGACCCCCATAATACAATTATCAGTCTACACAATCTTTCATTTTCCTTTTCCTCAGTCAGCATCATCAATTCACATTTAAACAAGCAAATCGTAATTCATGCCAAACAGACAACATACAGTATCAGTTTTTCAGTCATTCAACCCATGATTAATAAAAACGTAGTATATGCACACAAATCTGTAAAATGAACACATCAAACCTCATTTTGCATTTAAAGCTGTAAACATGCCAAATAACAGTAAATCACCAATCACACTAGACTCGGGCTCCATTAGCCACCTTAAGCAATTTCACACATTCGTTAATTCAAGGAATACCGTTTTATCATTTTGAACTTTAATACCGTGATAGGAAATAGGGTGAGGGGTCCTTACTCGTTTCGGGGTCCGAACACGGCTTCACAGTGCGCTTGCAGGCTGTCCCTAATTTTCCCTGAATTTTCATCGGGGAACTGAAAAGCACTACTGGTACCTGCACGTATTCAAAAAAAAACCCAAATTAGGCCCAGGGCCTCTTTCGGCCCAAATCGCAACTCCGGCACGGCGGCTCCGCCGTGCTCCGGCGACGGCGCCGCCGCTGGCGGCGGCGAGTCGCCTCGGGTTGGCTGTTTTCGGCCGAATTCGGCCACACTCGCATCAGTCCCTGTGAGAAAACAACCCTAGGGCCCTCGGGGGGCCAAAAAAATCACGGAGAAACGGAGCTTACCGGCGGCGGCGCTCTTGGGTGCGGCGGCTCTCCGGCGAGGTTCGTGTTTTGGTGATTCGGCTCCGGTCAACCTGTAGAGAAAAGAATGGTGATCACGGTGATATAAAAATTGCATCAAACGGAGGCCGGGAAAGGGCCTCATCGGAGGCAAAAATCGAGAAGGGGCGCGGCGGCGCCGCTGGGCTTCGGCCGCGTATTCCGGCCGTTTGGCCAGAATTTTGGCTCCGATTTGGCCACAGGAGGAATCAACGTGGAAAAACGAGTCGGGGGTACGAAATTTACCTCGATCGGCGGTCGGAAGTTCCTCCGGTACGACGGCGGGTGGCGGCGGCCGGCTTCTGGTTCGTC